ACAGCCCACCGGGGAGAATGCGCAAGGGGCGTCGCTTATGGCGGCAGCGAACCCCGCACCTCCCCGAGCATCCACCTCTTCCAAGAGAAGGCGTAAGAAGAGGAGCGGCAAGAGGAGGACCGCAAACCCCGCTGCAGACACCCAGGTTGACAGCGTCGCGGAGAGACCGTCCGCCGGTCAGCCCGCCACCAACCCAGCTACTACCGAAGCCATCGTCCCCCGAAAAAGGGAGACAGAGAGGACCAAGCCGACCGCCTCCGCAAGCACCTAAGGACCAGCAAACGCCCAAAGGGCAGAAGAGGATAGCAGCACAAAAGCTGTTATCCTTTTCACACTGGAGCTGCTCCAAGAGTTGTTGGCCGCCATGAGCCAGGAGCAGAGCAGAGACGCCGTCGCTCGCATCGCCACCAAGGGCGTAGCTGCCCTGATGGCCTGGGGGGCGCAGGCGCCCTGCTCCGCCAACACTTCGACATTCCTGTTGCTGCGGCCACCCCGCGGCTCGCGAGCACCTGTGCCTACTTGGCCCAAGTAGGCGCACCGTGTGTGGGCGCCGGTGACCGCCGCAACAAATAACGAACAGCGCACTCCGCAGACCGCATAGCGGTGCGGACTGCCCCACATACCCCGGACAAGACACCAGAGGGTTGCTAGTAAGTCGCCGCCTCCGTCGCTGGTCGCTCGGAGCTGGGCCTCCCCAGGTATCGCCTGGGGTCTCACCTGGCTCGGGCTTGACCGCCGAGGCGGCGTGAAGACCGAAGCAACCCCGCCTTACCTGAACACGACACCACACTGCCAAAGCACCCCACGACCTACTCCTATTTAGGAGTAGCGGTAGACACCGCTGGCAGGGGGCTACAGCCCCGATCCAGCCACCACGCGTCCCCTACGGGACGGTGTGAAGACTCGAGAGAGTAGGGGTTGTTTCTGGAAGCTTCGGAAACCGAAGATATATAAGTCCGGCTTTCAGCCACGGGAGACACTCTGCTATCTCGTGTCTACCAATCTTAAATAGTGTTTTGATTGTCGTGTGATTTGATTTTCGTAATATATTATCTGTTCAAAAGTACCCACGAAAGTGGTGAGTTTGATCTTAATTTTTCTTGTACCTATTTGTTTCTGGAACCTGATCAATAATATGAGTGCTAATCCATTCGTAGGGTCCCAGATTTCGGGGTCAAGACGGTCAGTCTCAGACGGCGTGCTTGTTCGTTTGTGGCCTTCTGGTTCGGATTCAAGTTTCTCGGTACCCTCTGGCAAGCTGGCAATCACGCGGCTCACGAAGGAAGCGGACAGCCGTACCCAAGGGTTACGTACCTCTATTTAAATTTATAAATACCAATTGTGAACTTTTCTCAATATCTAATATAAATAGCTGACTCGGGCGGAAGAGGAAGTAACCTCCTGGAGTGAAGATGAGGAGGCTCCGAGCACCCTCAGCTCGGCTCTGATGCGCTCCGCTGCGGTTTTTCTTATACCCTCTGTTTTTTTTTTTTTTTTCTATTGTAACCTTAATTTTGTTTTATTGAAATATACATGTATGTATGACTGAGGTGTAAGTTGTTTTCCTCTAAGGAATCCCGTAGGTTTCCCACACGCACACACTTCTGTTCTCATACAAGGCGCCCTGAGGTAATCTCTTGAATCTCTCCACTGGGTCAGCCGGTGAGTAGTCCGCCTGAGAAGAAAAGCGGCTACAACCTGCTTCCAGGTAAGAAGGTACTCCGCTCCTTATGAGCACTAAAAGAGATCTTACCCAGTGCAGGCATGAGTTACTTGCGGAAGGCCATCGTCTAACAGAATTAGACGCCCTCAAGCAAGATCATGTTAGATAAACTGATTGCATCTGTACATCAACACATGGACGGGCTCGTAAAATTTATCTTTTTTTTATATAAATAATAAGCAGAACGATTACGAACTGCGGTCATGTCGGAGTCGAACTGCCACACATAAACAGACCACTTCAAATTTTTTGATTTAAAGCTTGGCGGCTTAGCAGAGGGTTGTCTATGGCTTTGATAATGATGAGTATCGGTTTAGGGTTAGATGACCTGTGCTGGTTCTTACAACTATTCTAATTTCGAATTAGTTAAGATTAAGGCGCTCTGCAGACGACAGGGGGGGCGGTCTTATTAACCACAAAGCAATAAAAATCACGTGTGTTCGCGGGCACTAGCGGCACGATCTTTTTGACCGCCGAATGCGTTGGTAGTGTATAAGATTTCATTTGTTTTATGTTCGTGGCAAAATAGTCCGGCCCCGTCGTTTGCTCAGCGTCTAAGCAGTTTGTAAGTCATGGGCTAGATCTCCATCTCCACTTTTGACTTTCTGCAGTCAGACATGTTTGCCGAGCGACCGTTATGTACTTCACGAGCACATTGTCACTTGTGCTGAAGTTCAATCAGCTGCTGATATTGTAGGTACGATTTTTGCTGCTAGCTCATCGACGGCGTTCAGCTATGCTACTATTTGATCCATCAAAGTAATATTCCATTGATTTATAGATTTCCAAGCGTTTGGTGACAATGTCGGGGCACCAGGGACTTCCTTTCTAGGGTATACCTGGTCCCCCGGCTATTAGTACCCGAGACGGCGTGCGGTTTTAGTCGGTTCGAGTCCGACATGCCACCGATAGGTGGTATCCGAGGGGATTTCCGCACGGAAAAAAAAAAAGCGTTTGGTGACAATCAGAAATAAGACCGGAGTCCATGGTGTTACCATCCAGGGCCGACTATACTGTCGAACAACAGGTATTCGGATTTATGTACTCCTTCTTTATACCTCCTGACACGACCGCAGTGCCACTGTAGGCCAAACACATTCATAGTGACATAGGCAGTGATATTGTATGTCTTGTGAGAAAACTAGCCTGAATTTTAGAACCGTCCGGATTTCTGTGTTCTTTGGTGTGCATCAGAATGGCTGGTAGACATTCTCATTTTGCATCGAGGTTGTGATTAAAAATCGTTACCTACAATAAAATAATTGCTACTTCATTAATTAAAAAAGTGTAGGGAATAGCAATGTTGACCAGCAGTCCTGAACGTCACGTTGGTTAGTCAACAATGCGTTTGTGTCATCATCAACATCCATTAATAGTCCACTGCTGGACATAGGCCTCTTGTAAGAAAGGAGGTTAAGGCCTACTATAGTCTATACCACGTTGGCCAGACGGGTTGGTATAGGGTTTATTTCAAGTTTTTCTTATTTTTGCAGTGGTGTTGTCCTGCGAAGCTTGCCCGTAGTCGGCTCTTACTACACCCACGGAATAATTAGGGTTTTTGACACTGTATTCTTAATCCGTCACCACACGAACATTTGGCAAAAAAGTACTAGCAATAATTTATTATGTTCACTTAAATATTTAAACATTTTATTTGTATCACAAAGCTCTGCAAATGTTTGGTCGACCAACGTGGCGTCACACGTCACGAACTAATATGTACTGTCGTTATGATTATCTTGCTGTTAAGAAGGTAATAAAGTTGGGTAATAAGTTATTGCTAGGGTCAGGGGTCAGAATGAACGGGGGTCTTTTTTTGAAATAAAAACTTCTAATCTTTTAAAATACATTTATTCAATTAACATCCGCATCTTAAGTGCCTCATCCACTAGATGACTAGAAGACTATCACAAAAAAGTTTCTTGTTTGCCATTTTCAGAGTTCTTCAGGTCTTCAGCCGGGCGCCCAATTCCTGTTGAATAAAAAACTATTAGTGCCTCGAAATTAAAATCAGAGTGTAGTAGTCGCTTTCGTTTACAATTGATGATTTGTTTACGTTAACGCAATTACTATGAAAATGTTCTAGGACTCGTGTAAAGCCGAACAATTGAAGCCTGTTTAGTAAATATTCGGCCGTTAATTTTACCGATCAACATACACGACATCGTGACAAAAAATGGAGTTGAACGTTTACAAAGAATATCGGACCGTGTTAGATGCGCGTGTCGTTCGCCACACGGCCACGCGCCGCTCAGCGGTTCTGTTTGCTCTATTTAGCCGTACTTACGATTTGTATATTTCGTATTCCTGGTTCTTCAGTCGTTGTCGCCTAACGTATACAGCGTAACGCCGTCGCTAGCATCGACTACGCATCGCCGCCGTAACGCTCGCATCGCATGCCGCAACTAACTATCTGAAAGGACTCGCACGCACGTGTGTTTGTCGCCGCTCGACAACGTTAGATATCAAATACAGAGCAGGGCCGTACGCTGAGCTCACTCTGAGCTCTTTTAGCTAGCACCGACAGACACAGCTGTGGGCCCAAAGTTAAAGCCAATTGGTTGCTGAGGACGGGGTGCGCTCTTCAACAAATTTCGTTTACGTCATTTAGTTTTTTTTTTTCATTTTAATGAGTTTATGATAGTGATTCAGATACGTTAACGGGTATTACGATTTTAGAGTAAGGTAAAACTTTAGTAACATCGTTAGATATTGAACGCACCCCCAACTGGTTTATTCCAGGTATACCCAAAACGGCCTAAAGCAGTTAGAAACGGTTTGATCGTGCGATCGCGCGTTTAATAGGCATCCTGCAATAAAATCACAAGTTTATACAGATTTACCGCAACCAAGGAGAAGCAGTATTCTAAGCCAAGGTTTTTAGGGAGGTCATGCATGAAAAGTTTAGTGCCGGAAAAGTAATTAAAGTAAAAATGTTGTTCTAATGAATTTAATCTATAAAAGAAAATTATAATACAGCTTAAACAAATGTATCTTAAAATTTAGACTTATCAATAGCGTACTCAATCCAATCAGTTATACAAATCTATTGCGTTCTTATATTACATGGAGCATGTCGTCAAACATCTGCGGGTAAAATGAAAACGTAACCGTCAATAATGTTCAATTTATTACAATTGTATATGATTCACATAATTCTATTTCACTCGTTCTGGACTTACAAACTAGGCGCACGCGCGCGTTACGCGGCAAGTTCGACCGTTTGTTCGTGTCGCGGTGGACTAACTACTCGCTTAGCCTAGCGCTGCTGCCGGCGCTAGTAGCGGCGCGGGCCCAGCGGCGCCAGCTCTCTACCGCGCGCCGAGGCTCCGCCCCCGCTACAAACAAACTCGCTCAGTGCCCGCCCGCGCTCGCCCGCCCCTCTCCGCATAGTGAAACAACTACTAAGCCAAATCATACACCAACCGTTACATTCACTACGACCCGAGAGGAGTTTCGCGACAGTCTGCGGGCGAGCGACGCTCAACATTTATATTATAACAAAAGTTTATCACCTTAGGTCGATCTGTCCAACAGAACATTAGCTGCATAGAAAGTATTTGGCAACGTTTGAATAATGTTTAAACAGGTGAACACACATGTATTTTTGCCGCGAATTAAGAGCAATTTGTAATTGCGCTGAGTTACTACGGCATGACTCAAAAATAGACTAGCAAGGAGCATGCAGCTATTGAATATATCTTTGAAAGTTTTAAGTTTTAGAGGCCAAGTATTTATATCTCAATAAACAATTTAAACATCAAAAAATGTCTTAATGTTCTTGTTGTTTTAAATCTACTCGTTCTAAATATAAATAGATTTCCTATAAAAAAGCTTAGTTTATCACCTCACAAATTACCTAATTCCTAAGCGCTAACGAACAAAGCAGTTGTCCATTAAAAAGTATGTTTACGGTTTTTTAATTGAATAATATTAAAGCCTAAATATGTTTAAAGCAAAAATAGAGAAGGAACTACACATATCACACTAGATATTAAACAAAATATTTTTTTAAGTAAACAAGAACACTAACAGATGTCATTAACGACCCTGCATACTCCTTGCCAGCTTCAAGGATTGATATAAAGATCATATGAAGAAACTTACCGTCCCATTGGAGGGTACTGCTGTGCATATGGATCTCTGTCGTAACCACCAGGTCCGGCAGCGCCGCGCCTGCAAACCACAAATATTTTTGTGAATATGTTATACACAACTCAAAATACTTCAGACTACTTCATTCCTTAATTTTTACTAAATCGTGTAAAGTAAAAATGGAGTCTTCATCTATGGCAATAAAATATAAAACTATAAGGATTCAAGAAAATTAGTTATTAATATTCATCAGACTGCTAATGAGATTAATATTATCTCAGCAAGAAACATAAGACCTACAGGTCACAGGTTGAATATCACCAAGCATAGGCTCCGACACTGTGCTGAATTAATAATAACTTTCTTTTTCTTTTACCAGTATAAGAGATTACAAACAAAACAAGTTTTAAGTATAATTTTTATTGTATTCTTATGATTTGAAACCATATATTTGAAAAAATGTACTCAAATTCAACACCAAAAAAAGTTTTAGAACTTTTAGATATGTAATTATGACTCGTACTTCCAAAATGCTATCCAAACTGACATCTCACCGAGTTTGAAATAATTTTCTAAATACCCATTGCATGTTATGATTGATTGTTTACCAACTTCACCATCTTATCACTAAACATGAATACATAATTTAACATTGATAACAAAATAAGTAGTGTGTTTAATGTACTTATCACTGACAGATTTAAAATCAAATTGTCATTTCATACTTACAGAAAATTTTGATTCTATTATTTTATACTTTAAAAATACTTTTTACATAGCTAATAACTATGCAATTTCATTGTTGTAATACTGCTGCTTTATTAGTTTTTGATAAATTATTTTGATTATTAGGTATTTTACTTGAAATACAAAGTGGTATTTAATAGTAAAATTGGTATTGTTATACAGAGATGGTAAAGTGATACTACAGGATAAGTAAAATGCAGTGGATTTGCTTTTCAACTCCCGCGCTAAACTCTTGTGTCACGGGGGACACAGAACAACAATAAGTGGTTCACACAAAGTGACGTCCCATGTGGGGATCGAACCCACAACACTTAGCGCAGTAGGAAGTGGCAGCTTAAACCACTACAACATCCATGCAGTTAATGTGAGGATTCTAATTTTTATGAAACAGACAACCGGTGTTGTCGACAAATGTAAGAAGACCTTTGTGATGGGATATAAATTACTATTATTATTATGTTTGATTTGGTCTGGGTGTTTCTATGTATAATATGTGCATATTTACAAAAGAAAACATATGTATTTATATCAGTTGTCTAGTAGCCATAGTACAAGCTCTGGCTAGATGGCGCTGTGTAAATGTGGTACAATACAGAAAAAAATATTTATAAGTGACGACAACAATGTAACAAACAATAGATAGACTGTGAAAACTGATATGTTGAGAATAAAGCTAGTGACTTGATGAATGGAAAATTAAAATATATTGTACCACAAAGTAAATGTTATTAGTCAAATATTGTCACAGAGGTGTTTCAATATTCAATAATATTAGTGCCATTGAAGACCTTGATCAGGTCTGGTTCCTCTCACCTTTAGATGTTTCATGATATTTTATTACATCCTATATTTCTTGAAATGAAAGCATAATAACTTTAACACTGTTAACAAAGCTATGTATAATCATCATCATCATCAACAGCCTTTAACAGTCCACTGCTGGACATAGGCCTCTCCTTAGAAAGGAGGTTTTATGTATAATATCAAGGTTCAATCTTGATATCATATTCAACTTCTTCAATAGATTCTTTGCAGATTTAATACTGTTTGTTGCAGCAGTCAACTTGTTAAATAAATTTACAACAGAAACAATATATCTTTTGGCAAAGGAGTTCAAAATATAATTTGCTTCATATGATGAATTACGATTGCTGTGACTGACATTGTTGTTTGTTTGACACACCATTGTTTAAGAAAATATCTGTAAGGAACAATAACTTACATTGGTGACCGCCTGCTAAACATGTCTCCATTGGGCATAGGTGCAGGCCTCGGGGGTAGCGCCCTGTCGTAGGGAGCCATCGCGGGACGACGGTCCATCATGTCCCTTTCATCATACATTGGCGCCCGCCGGTCATCGTACATGGGAGCCATCTCATCGTAGCGCCGCTCGTCAGCGTACATGGGAGCAGCGTACGGGTCTCGCGCGCCGCGTTCCATCAGAGCGAACCCGCGACGATCTTCACCACCATAGCCGTTGTAACGATCATCATAAGCGGCTGGAGGTGCTCTCTCCCGCTCGTAAGGCATGGGGCGCGGCGCCATCGGCACCGGGCCGCCTACTGGAGGGCCGCGAGCGTGCGGTCCCGGCCTGTCGCGGGAATAAGGCGAGTCTCGAGGAGGAGGTCCACCGCGCATCGGCCCGCCACCACGCCGTTCCATACCGCCGCGCATTCCCCCTCGCATGCCACCGCGACCTCCGCCGCCACCACCGCGAGCTCCACGCTCCTTGATGCGACCGCGTTCGACGGTAATGACACCACCGTTGAAGGTTGTGTTATTAAGTCCGCGAATCGCAGCCGATGCCTGATCTTCGGTTTGCATATGCACAAACCCACATCGATTCATAATATCACATTCTGTAACAACGCCAAAGCGTTCGAAAAGTTTGCGGAGCTCCTCCGGCTTGGAGCCTTGCGGCAGGCTGCCGACGAACACTTTAGTTTGCTGAAATTAGATGTTATTTCATGAAAAGTAGGCCGTACTTGATGATAAAAAGACATTACAATTTTAATGCTACTACTTACCGGCACCATTGTAGGTTCTGTAATTTATTTCCACTAAACTAAGAACATAAATTTACCACCGCACTTTTTGCGCACCACTACTGTCTTACTTTTGGATCAAAATGGCGGACCGGAACTCCAAACTCCAAATGACGCATAGACGCTCTCATGACGCTTAAATTTCGCATGAAATATGTATTGTGATTGGACGACTTTTTCCCGCTTCGTTAAAAAAAGTTTATGCATAAAGGTGATTGGCTGATATTCGATCAAAGGGCAAAACAACGAATAAAAATGAAACACAGATAATCAAAGATTTTTGTTTATTGTAAAGACGAAATGAGCCGATTCCAAACTATCCCCAACATAATTTTTAACATTTTTCTTTTATTGTTTAATATACTTACAAGAAAGATTACAAAGAAATAACTATTTGCTGATTTTCATTCTGTGCAGAAGTAAATATTATAACAACAATTAAGTCATTATCGAAACATGAAAAATGTTTGGAAATCTAGTTTTCTGTGTGCAATGAAACATAAAATAGTATTTTCCTGTTATCAAACGCGGAAATCATAAAATTGATGTACACACCACACCAATAAATCAGTCAATAGATAGAAGACTGCTTAAACTTTACTTATCACAACATATTTTACATAAGTACTTTGTTTTTAATATTATATTTGTAGATATACGTACCATTTATTAACTTAATAATAATTAAATTTCACGTAAATATATAATTTCTAATTATTTCATTTAATTAATAAATCTACTAGCTAGAAAATATTTGGTTTTCGAGACTAAGGCCCGTATTTTGAAAGACGTCTCAAGTGTCGGTTGAACTCTGATTGACTAGTTTTAAGTGCAGATCAAATCTTAAGTATCGATTTTATTATAGAACGCGTTTTGAGTTCTACTCAGTTGAAACTAGTTTCAAGTATTGATTTGAACTTACAGTCTGTTCTCAATTCCGTTTCCGCATGATTGACATTATTATTCCGCATTACGCAGCTAATTATTAAAAAAATATTTTTCTTTTACAAACATAATTCTTGTGAATTTGTATATAATGGCTATTGGCTAGTGTAGCAATTTTAACATATTAATAAGCTTGTTGTTCGTTCAAAATGAAATTTAATAAATATTAAAATAATAATAATAAATTTGACAAAACAGAGATTGTTGCTTTTGTGTGTGTTGATCTATGACTTTAGAGTCTACATGGAAGACGATTTCAAACAATTTTGGAAATTTTATGAAATAAAGAAAGTTTGAGTTGAATGAATAGGCTATAACGGAACGTTTAAGGTATTTCATATTCATACTCATACTCATCATTTTGAAATTTCAAACGATGTTTTTATTTGATATTTCTGAAATTCATATTACTATACTTTTAACATAAACCAAAAGATTGTGGTATTTTAAACTGGTATTGTGTGTGTAAAATGTGAATTTTGGTGAATTTCATATAAATTAAGGTAAATTAAAGTGAAATTGATTATAGTACGACAAGTCATTCTTTCGTAAATAAAGTAAAGTAAATCTTTCGTATTTATTCAAAAACAAATCATCGTAAAACACATTCATTTCCCCTAAATGCCTTAGAAATCACCGCTTGAGACTAGCTTCTGCTTGTCTCACGTAAACAAAGATCACAGCTGTCAAAATCTATACCTTAGTAATGATTTCGACATAAACATCGTTCTAAAATAAGCTATCACTCACTTGAGTATGGATCGGTGAATCTCGTTTTAAGTGACGTTCAATAATAAAATCTCTACTTAAAATTAGTTTTAAGACTAGATTCACGACTGAGACACCTTTTGAAATACGGGCCTAAAACTTTGGTTAATAATAGCAACGATAAAATTAAAGTTTTAGTTGGAATAAATAGTTTATATACATTTTAATCACGATTCAACATAAACGCCTAACTTACTACCAATTTCCATTAAATAACTTGGTAAATATAAATTTACAAGATAAATATAGCGTGCTAGTACTTTTAGATACATAAATGTTCTAGGTTATCGATTTCTAATGTCAGCTAAGACTATCCAAATACAGGGACGCGTTATAAACGGATTTCATTAGTTTTGTTACGTGGTAATTAATGGAATTCTTGACGTATTCCCCTAGGTTATATTTATTAACTGTCCCACAAATTTGGGTGCAGTTAAATATATCTGTGAGTCTAGACTGTATTTTTTCTGAATTGTTGTGGTGGATCACTTTGGGTGTAATCCTTTTTGCTTTTTTGTATAATGTTTCTGCTATGGTGGTCAAGTTCCATGTCAGTATGTCGCTGCTTTTTTTAGGCTCAATGGTGCGCGCCATACGACCCAGCAAATATCCTGAAATAGAAGATACTGATTAAAGATATGTAGAGCTTTACACAGCTTTATTATGCAGGTACTTTTTTTACAGGATTTAATGTCTCCTATATTCGAAACCAAACCCCCCCACTGCTGGACTTAGGCCTCCCTTTAGGAAGGAGGTTTTGGCCTAATATACCAACCAGGCCAGACGGGTTGATAAGTATAGAGTTAGTGTTACGTTGATATTCTCTTTGCAGTACTGTTGTCCTTTCTCCCTTCATCGGGACGAATAGAGACGGTGACACTCCGTATTCTAAACCCGTCACCACACGGACAAATCGAATACACAGGACGTATGCTTATCTTCCAAGGTGTACCAAGTGACAGTGGCGGCCTTAGCCAATGCGAGGCCCCGGGCTGGTAGATAATTGGCCCTTGTCTTTGTGCAATTAGTTTTAATGATGATACTGCAACAAAAAATGGAACGCAACACATACTGCTGCTCGAACATAGAAGCATAAGCCAGTTGACACTGAAAGCCTGTCAAAATGACAGGCAAGATGAAACAAGGGAAATCCCCGAACGTAAATCGTAAACACCACGACAACTACCACGGAAGAGAGAGCGAGTAATGTAACGTGATTTTTATAATGCGCGGTGTATGGTTCTTTTTCTACTTGGGCTGTTGCGCATGAGTCTGCATGAGCGAGGCCTCGGACGGTCGCCGTGCTAGCTACCCCCAAAAACCGCCCCTGCCAAGTGATATAGAACACAAACAGCATCTCTTCCATAACAAGCTTGTATGGTAGCTTTTTAATCTTAAATCCTAATAAAGGTATTGCAATCTAATTGACGAGCAAACCGGCAAGGAAACATGTTGGAGACAAATTCAATAGTTCTACTCATTACAGGTTAAATTTGTTGACTCAATTTTTTTTAAAGTGCATAATAATATACGAGTATATTTTTCTGTAAAGGAAGTTATTTGTACCTATCCCTTTTTAAACACTTGGCGCACGGAATATTTGGAATATTTGATGTTTATATCTAGCAAATGCATCAAGCTAAAACTTTTCAAGGAAATGAGGTTTTCAATTTAAATTATTTAAAACCCGTTACTTGGCTTACTTTGACGTGTCATAATGCAAAATTCCATAAAATTACGGTTCAAGATGCACTGTTCAAAAATAGTACAAGACATTCAAAACGGTCTAAATCCCACAGTCAGGCGATCTCTAATAAGTATAAAAGATTAATTATCTTCGCTTAAATCTTTCCTGGTCTGGGTATTCGCCTGCATTTACAACAATTATAGACAAAAATAAATTGGTTAGGTAAACACAGTTTATTCAATTGCTTAGTGATTCAACGCAGTGTCTAGATAATTTGTGAACTAACCTATAGCACCAAAAAACTAAAGCACAGAAAATTCGTAAACGGCCAATTTTAGCGTACATGTCTGCCGGGTTCAATGACCTGATGACGTAAATATATGGTCTTTGTGGGCTCTTAGGCGTGACATCTTTAATAGGCATAAGGAGAGCACACAGGAGAGGTAGGTTTATAAAGTTAGGTATGGACACAACGAAAGTATCATCGCTCATCGCCCAGACCGTACCGTTCTCGAATATTTTTTAACTATGATTGCAAGGAATTATTGACATATAATAGGTCTTTACCTTTTTTTTTTCACGCGGGGAATGCTTTTCCCCCCATACCCTCCGTTGGGGAAACGTAGGGCGTGTGTGGGACTCCCGGAGAACCGGTCTACCCACTAAACCCCGCGGCGGCCTACCTCGGCAGTCGGGAGGAGCTCCAGGAACGCATCGGCATAGGTCTTTACCTATGAAATTGCCGTTTTGTATGCAATAAGTGAAAGTACTTATTTTTTCAAACTTTTTTATTTCTGTTATTCGAAGTAATCACCCATCCAATCGACGCATTGACGGCAATTTATTGATGCCCGTCTTGTAAAAATCAGCTGGACGGGAGGCGATAAACTCTTCAAAGGCATTTTGTACTGCGTCTCGGGAATTGAATTTTTTACCCACTAAAAAGTTGTCTAAATTTTGGAAAAAGTAATAGTTGGTAGGTGCAAGGTCTGGCGAGTATGGCGGATAAGGGAGAGCTTCCAACCCCAGCTCTTGCAACTTGGAGACTGTCTGTTGCGCAGTATGGGGTCGCGCGTTGTCGTGAAGGAGCAATGGGGACGACCGATTGACCAAAGCTGGTTGGAGATGTGCAAGCTTCTCCATCATTCTCTCCAGTTCTTCACAGTACACATCTGCATTAATGCTCATGCCGTTTTGTAAAAAGCTGTGGTGAATCACACCCGCACTAGACCACCAAACAGTGACCATCACATTTTTAGGGGTCATTTTTGGTTAAGGGCATTGCTTTGGTGCTAAACCAGGGTCTAACCAACTTGCTGAGCGCTTTCGATTGTCGAACAGAATCCATTTTTCGTCGCACGTAACATTCACATTTACATTACTTAACAATCGTTTCAAAATTCCTTCATTTCTTTTGCCTGTTGAGCAGCGCCTGTCTCGACGCGTACGTTGCGCTGGCGATCGTTAAGGTCGTGGGGCACCCATCTATCAAGCTAATTTGTCGCAAATGGATCAATATTGTTTTGATGCTTACATTAAAAGCTGCTGCTAGCTCAGCTGTAGATTGAGTTTCAGCTTCCACAATCGCCTTTAATTCATTATTGTTAACCAAAGCATTGAGTTAAAACAACACTAGAGAAGCAAACCTCATTATCACACGTCGAAAAAAGTGTAACCACTTTTGAACTTTGACGACGTAGCTTTGATACCACTAAACATTTGAAAGTAAACATATTTATGTCTCATTTACACGCGAGACAAGAACAATACCATCGCTCGGATTAGACAAAGACAAAGACATAACTTTACGATGGTGGGCCAGTGTTGACTACCGTATGAAATTTTACCCATAACAACCAAGAAACAATTTTTTTTAAAACAATATTGTAATAAAATAAATTAATTTAAATAATATATTTCGAATTGAATAGAATAGGTATAAATAATAAAATAACTAGAAATATTTGGTTAAAAGGGTTTATATTCAGTGTAAAATCAAACTCCGCTATGAAGCATCAGTTTTGTATACAATTGTCTTTTAGACTCTTTTTTATAAGTTTGTGTGAATATTTTACTTTCATGATACAATCTTATTTTTACCTATGTATAAATAATGGCATTTAATAGTAAAAGTGAATGATCAACTTGTACTGATAATAAATAATCCCCAAGGTGTATTGCAAATTCTTTTAATATTTTTAAATACATATAAAAAAAAAAATTTTTTTTTTGTTTTTTATATTTTTTTATTTATATTTATTTACTTTTTATTTTATATATATATATATTTTTTTTGTACAATTATTATTTATATTTGATAATTAATTAAGAAAAATGAATGAATGAATTAATTAATTCTTTTATACAAAAGTCTCCAGCACTGCGAGCTTGGCAGAAGGTGAACGTTCAACGGGTCCCTAAAAAAAGTGATCGATTCAGCCCTAAGAACTACCGTTCTTCCTATATTTTATTATTATTGACAAAATGTTTAAAAACAGTATAAAGCATATTATTTCATAAATTATAAATTCTCCCACTAATGTGGGAAAACAAAAATGATTTTTTAATCGTAACACTGATTCTAAATTACAATTATCAATGTTTTATTTCAATTATAGCCTTATTTACGATATTATCAATACAAAAACCATAAACTTACACGTGATAAGTAATTCCGCATGATTTATTATGGTTTTGTGACCTTGAATCGCATTCTTTCACTACGCATTTACCCATTTTGGCGATTGTTACTGTCATGTGTCGCTATGTTCAACTCGGTTGACGCCACATTGAACACTGAATTGACGTTTGCTACGCATATGCCTGTGGACAGATGTGCAGTAGCAACGATTTTAGGCGGTAATTACTCATCTATGTAAGTATTATATCAATGAACCAAAGTCTCCGGACGACCACTAGCTTCATTTTTCAAGTCAAAATTTCCAGAACGGAACCGGGAAAACCAATAACGGGTTGTGCGTTCGTTTGTACAGTTCTCTCCGTAAACGTTTTTGATGTTTGTGTCGCGTTGGTGCCACGACGGAACTCATATTCCATAATTACACGAATTTTTAAAGTATCCATTATGACGAAAAATGTTCGAATCAAAAAACAAAAGACTGAGTTTGTAAATAGAATGTCATGGTTTTAAAACAAAATTAATTTGAATTTAGAATACAGAGCCATTACAAACTTTTTTTTATTTGAAATGACCAGTACTGAAGAAAGGCTATTTCATAGGTAAAGACCTAATATTACAAAGACTATATTATATATACATTTTCATTAAAATACCAATGTATTTTAGTAATTATTTAGTAAGTATTATATATTATTATTAGTAACTATCTCCTAATAAAGCTAATAACTTGATAATAATAATAATAAAGCTAATAGCTAAAAATGACTTGAACAAAATTGATAAAGTTAGATATGAATGGTGTGCATGAATAAATATATTCTAATTTAATTTTTGATTCGTGGTTTCATTGTATGAGAGGAACCTAACTAGTGTGTGTCTCGTGTGGTGCGCGTTATTCGCGGTCCTTCTCCTTCCTCGTCCTCTTCCCAGGGTAATGGTTTTATATATTATCATTATATTGGCAGAATCCGTGTGGTGACGGATTAAGAATACAGAGTGTCCCCACCCCTATTCATCCCGTGGGTGTCGTAAGAGCCGACTAAAGGAACAAACTGTGCAAAACAACAGCACTGCAAAAACAAGGAAAACTTGAAACAAAGCCTATACCAACACGTCTGGCCATGCGTGGTATAGTAGGCCAAAACCTCCATTGTAAGGAGACTCCTATGTCCAGCTATGGACTGTTAAGGGCTGTTGATGATGATTGATGATGGCAGAATAAGCTACCGTTGTTGTTGTTAGATAAATAGTAGGTCTATGTTGAGAGTACAGCACAGCATACTAGTTTCTACATACAATACATAGGTAATAATAATAATAACTTTACACATCTCACACACGGCAGTTTGATCCCAAACAAGAGCCTGTACTGTGGTAACCAGACCGCTGATAAACAAACTTAAATATTTCTAAATGCATTAATATTGTAGATAAATATTACACCACTCAGAATAAATGATCGTACTCATAACACGGTGGGAATCGAACCCATGATCTACAGCTTAGTAGTCACAGTCACTAACCACTAAACTATACCAATTAGCTTAATTATATATGTATTGAACCTACAATGTAGGTATATGTATATTCTATTAAGTGGGATTTATACTAATTGCCCTTGTTGGAGGATTTGATAGGGTTCCGTACGTTTAAATCAAAAAACAAAACCCTTAAAAGATCTCCGAAACTGATTTCTAAAATTTTGAAAATATGTTTTTTTCAGACATAGTTCTAGAGATCCATGTTCTTCAAACAATATAGTAAACTTCTAGTTTTTTTTCGTCCAAACTACATATGCAATTGATAATACGGACCCTCTCCATGTTAAAAATTGCTTCATTTAGTAAACATGCATTTTAACATCATAGTTTCAGCTGATACATGACAATATACCCGCCAACGAACCCAACAGTCGACACACTTACATCGCAACGCCGCATGCAGCTGAGCATCAAAAATAAAACGTAAAAAAACAACTGTCGTCCACCAATTATAAAACTATAAAACAATTTTATAATTTACGATATATGTGACAACAAGAAAACACTGTTAGTAAATAAGTTTTTCTTACCTCCAAACATGCATAAAATGCCGGTCATCAACACGATTACAGCGAATAACCGCTTGGTAACGTGCGGAGCCGAGCTCACGCACGATCTGCGTTCTATGCTCATAATTTAGAAGAAAATAAATGTGCCTTTATCGTGATATAAGCATTCACATCACTGATCGTGTGGCGCGTGAAATGGTAATAGTTCGTCCGCACTCTGCACGACCGTGATTCCTATTTTATTTTTAGATGTCTCTGTGTTGTGTCTCCGACGGTGAATGATCTATCCGAAATAATATTTCTTCTTAAGAATTTTTGTGAATGATTGTTGTTTTCCCTTTGTGGGGTGTGACGTGGACATTATTTTGGTTATCTAATTAAGTTCTTGGACTGTGTGCGTCATTAGTTCTTGGATATGTTAGTCTCTAGTCAATTTTAATGTGAAATTAAATAGGTGTACAATGAGGAAGGACGAGGATGAGCAAAAAAAAGTGTACATTAATTTCTCTGAGGTGTCTGTTCATCCAAATATTCCTAGATTTCTATTTTGTTATTATAGACGTGGGAGGGCCATTCTTCGGCACAAATGGCCCGGCTCGACCGCAGCCATATCATGGCCTTACAGAAAACCGGTGTTAGGCAATTTTTTCGGTGCTTTTGACCGAGTAAGTGAGGTTACCGGAGCCTAGACCTCTCCTCACCTAATTCTGGATGGAAGACTAAGGGCTTCAATGCACCTCTTGAGTCGCAAGTATTCATAGGCGGCGGTAGTCACTTACCATCAGGTGACTCGCCTACTCGTTTACCCCTACACCAGGGATTCCCAAAGTGGTCGATATCGACCGCTCTGGGTCTTCTTTCAGTCACTTCTTATTTGCAACTTTCAAGATACTGTATTAGTTGTGTTATGTGTACAAACTTGTTATAAAAATGATTAATCATTGTTGTACTTTTGAGAAAACTCAACAAGTCGATAAGCGTACACAGTTATTTGGCTATGGAGGTCTGAGGTATCAGTTCATTTTAGAAAAGGGGTCTTTTGCCTAAAAAAGTTTGGGATTCCCTGCCCTATACGATAAAACAAAATGAAATTATTAAAAAACATGCATAAACCACATAATTATTTATTGTACAACAATTCTTATAAAATATTTAAGTCTGTATTTAAAATATTCTTTATATCTAACTATATCTGGTTTTTACATTATTATCAATTCTCATAAAATCATGTCAATTAAAAGTGAAAACATTGCTTCGGTTAAAAAAATAAAATGAATGGTTACTATATTACGTACCTACTCAAATCAATATTGATTTTCTTATAATATGGAATTATTAAAAATATTTGTTTTACGATGAAGGAAACACGTACGGCCTCGCTCCCATCTGTCACAGTTATACAGGTAAAAAAAAACAATCATAGACATCAAATAGGTGATTTGAACAAGTCCGGACAATATGTGATGGTCTAATTTCAAAATTCTTAATTAGGTATCGAATTAAAATTAACATTAAAATACATAAATTTTATAGGGAAGTGACGTCATCCGTAGTTACATGTAAAGTTGAGATCCAAAATCGTGTCCCTTAAACATAGGTTTATATTTAGCTTCTCATACGTCTTCCATATTGAGAATTTTCCTAAATGTATCTTTTTTTAATTAACATATTTATTTGTAGTTAGATCTTTAGGAGATATATTTAACGGGTCTGTACAATTTATATATTCCATGGAATTAAGTTACTTTTATCAGTCGACAGAGATACTCTCCGAAGCTTCTGCTAATACAATTTAACCGTCACTCGGTCGGCAAGCTCTTACTATCCCATGTTGAACAACACCTTGAGGTCTTCTATTGTCAATTTTGATTTGTTTGTGTTCTTCGCACCAGTTAGGACGTTCTCTGCGAGTTCTAGCTTGGCTTCTTGAAGTTTCCTGATCGATTGTTCTACTGTATCCAGACACATGAACCTGTGGGTAAAATCAGAGTTTTAATTTAAATAGGACTTAAAAAGGAAGTGATCTGGAAGAAGGACCTTTTTTAAATACTTTTAATACCTTATTCCATTAAAACAGAGCTGAAAATCGCCGCCGGTAAGGTAGATTATACGTACTATTTGCATTTGATTTTCTGTTATATTATTAAGGTTTATTTTTATTCACATTCTAAAAGTGCTCGAGTATAACGCCGTTCAGTATGAGCTGCTAAAAGCTGAGCACTTACTTAAGCTACTTTTTCTTGTGAACAATAGTTTAAGTAGTGAGTGAGTAGGTAAGAATAGTACGGTCGTAGTAACTTGACGACCGGATGGCGTAGTGGTTTGTGTAACGGACTGCTATTCCAAAGGTCGCGGGTTCGATTCCCGCTCAAGTCAAACATTTGTGTGCATGAACATTTAATGTTTGATTTGGTCTGGGTGTTTCTATGTATAATAAGTATGTATTTACAAAAAAAAAAGTACATATATATGTATTTATATCAGTTGTCTAGTACCCATAGTACAAGCTCTGCTGCGCCATCTAGTTTGGGACTAGATGGCGTTGTGTGTATGTGGTAGAATATATTATTATTATTATTTGAAGTAGAAAATAAGGATGGAAACGCATCGACAGTTCAACGCACAGATAAGAGAAACAACTAAGTTCGTACAAGAAATGCGTTAAACTACTTGCAAAGCTAGTACTTTTGTATTAATGGTACTAAGACACGTATTTCTATACTAATCTACATATATAGAACATATATAACATAACTATAGTCTACATAAATAAATTTATTTATTTATCTACATAAATTGTTTATTTGTACGTTAGAACACGCTAATCTCAGGATCTCAACTGGTTCGAATCGAAAAATTCTTATAGACCATAAATCTAGGCTTTAATTACCCAGTGAACACATGACATCAATTTACGTAAATGTGATATCAGAATGATTTTAAAAATTAGTGTTTTATGTCACATTGATATCACATTTACGTAAATTAATGTCATGTGTTCACTGGGTATCACGCTACGACCAATAGGCGCCGAGCATCAATGAAAAATGTTCAAAAATGTGGTACGTACACGAAGTTGCGAGGCTCAGCCAGTGAAACATTTACGTTACTTGAAGTTCAATCGGCCTTAGCATAAGTATTTAGGTTGACGAAATGTGAAGACAGAATAAATTATTTAACGAACTATTAATGACCTTTGCTTGCAAAAAGATCGCAGTATTACTTTGCTTATGATTAATGTAAAGTACGTAAATAATGTTAGGGTGACCATTATACGGCGAGCGCATTGCGAAGCGCTCTCGCTTCCAGGGAACATGGGGTTCCCACACGGGGGGGGGGGGGGGAGGGGGGTCTACCTGTTGTTGTAGATGGCCCGAGGTATGTTGGGGCACCAGGGACTTCCTTTCTAGGGTATACCTGGTTCCCCGGCTATTAGTACTTAACTAAAACTTAACTTAACTAAAACCGCACGCCGTCTCCGTGCGGTTTTAGTCGGTTCGACATGCCACCGATAGGTAGGGATAAAAAAAAAAAGGGGGTGACCATTATGAAATAGAAATTAAGTCGCTGTATAGACGAATGTTCAGTAAATTTAGAAACCCGAAAGACATTTCTATAAATAAATAGTTAAAGACAAAACCTTTTGTTCCAAAGCTCGTAACGCGCAATTATGACCTAAAATGCAAATAGTTTCTTTCGACCGCCCAAGACCGGGTTGTAAAAATATTGTTTTCGTCTTTCAAGTATCAAGATCATAAACCTTCCGGCATTAAATTATAACTTTTGTTATTTTCTTTTATGTATTTGTTTTATAAATATCCAATTTTTGTCATTTGAATTAAACAGAAACATTTTATTATTTTTCTTACTATTTGCAAATGACGATTGTGAAAGACGATTATTCTAAATTTTAGTAGTAAATATATGTTACGTTCAGAAACAATAACATGTTCCCGAAGCATTATAATTACACAAAGCTAGTAATATAATATTATGGTAATTTGAGATACTTTTTCTTAGCAGCAGTTACAAGAGTAATTTTAAAGCAAGGACATAAAGTCGTTTTTTCCTTAGCAGGGCCAAGATATGCTGTGATTGCATTTCATTCTCAAATAAACCTTCACGAAAATAAATGACGCCAAAAGTGATAGATGTATCGTCATGGATTTAGTATGTTTTGCTAACCAATGGTCATCATCATCAACAGCCTTTAATAGTCCACTGCTGGACATAGGCCTCTCCTTAGAAAGGAGGTTTTGGCCTACTATAAAATACTGGCCAGACGGGTTGGTATAGGGTTTGTGTGGGGCAGATGGGGCAGGGGGGCTGCAAGCCTCCCCGCGCTTCTCGGCAAACGCCGGGGTCTAGCCTGCCGACCCAGGCTACCCCCGACGTCAATATTGCGTCGATGCCGACGCCCATGGAGGAGGTTGTAGAGACGATCCAGTAATGGATCAAGTCTCCAACCTCCTGGTCCAGACGAATCTGAACCACTGTGCTGCGGCGCAGGATCTCTTCCTGCAAACCATGGCACAGTGGTCGATAGGTGTTGCCGTAGTCGCGGAGCCCTATTTCGTCCCTCCCCGTCCAAACTGGTTGGGTGACCGGGACGGCTCCGTGGCAGTCGTCGGCTCCACGGCGGCACATTCCCCGCCCTTGTCGCTAAGAGACAAGGGTACTGGATATGTTGCCGCCGATTGGGGGGGAATCACCATTTATGGTGTATATTTCTCCCCCAACCGGAGCTTGAACGACTTCGAGGTCTTCCTTAACAACTTGGAGGCCTCGATGCGGCGACTAGTGTCTGGGCACGTCCTCGTGCTGGGGGACTTCAACGCAAAGTCCATTGCGTGGGGTTCCCCTGCGACGGACGCCAGGGGCGAAGCCGTCGAGGAGTGGGCGGCGTCGGTGGGCCTCTGTTTGCTGAACAGGGGCTCCACCAACACGTGCGTGCGACAGCAGGGGGGGTCGATAGTGGACCTTTCGTTCGCTACCCCTGCAGTCGCCGCACGAGTAAGGAACTGGTGTGTCCTGGAAGAGGTCGAGACGCTCTCGGATCATTTGTACATCCGATTCAAGCTCTCCCGGTCCCAGGACCCCAGTAGGGGTCACGCGGCGCGGCGCCCTTCCCGCTTCCCGCGGTGGGCTATCGCCAAGCTCGACAGGGACCTACTAGAGGAGGCGGCCATTATTTACTCTTGGCTGTCTCCGCAGGCCCCGACCGAGGAGGTCGACATGGGGGCTGGTCGCTTCTGCAATGCGATTACGCAGATTTGCGATGCGGCCATGCCCCGCGTTCGTGGTTGTCGGCCTCCAAGGAAGGAGGTCTACTGGTGGTCCCAGGAGTTGGCGGACCTCCGTGCGGCCTGTGTACGTGCCCGGAGGTCCCTCACCCGTAGTCGGCGACGTCACCGCGGGGTCGGTGAGGAGGTGGACCGGCTTCATGAGGAGTACCGAGAAGCTCGGAAAACTCTGAGGCTGGCCATCTGCCGCGCCAAGGATGCGTGTAGAGAGGAGATGCTGGAGAGTCTCGAGCGTGACCCCTGGGGTCGCCCTTATCGTGCGGTGCGTCAAAAGCTCCGCACGTCGGGCCCCCCCCCTTACGGAGACTCTCCAGCCCAGCTTCCTGCAGGAAGTGGTCGAGGGCCTATTCCCGCAGCGGGCGGAGCACACACCCCCGTCGATGGCTGCATCAGCCGAAGACGACGGGGGCAGCGAGGTTGATGTTCCGCCCGTCAGGGAATCGGAGTTGGGGGCGGCTGTTCTACGGATTCGATCCAAGAACACCGCCCCCGGGCCGGACGGGGTTCCAGCCCGAGTGATGGCCCGAGCCCTCGACTACATGTCGGACCACCTCAGGGGGGTGTTGGACGCTAGCCTGGCGTCCGGACGCTTCCCTGAGCGCTGGAAATGCGGGAAGCTGGTCCTGCTGCAGAAGCCGGGACGGCCTGCCGATTCGGTCGCGGCCTATAGGCCTATCGTGTTGCTGGACGAGGCGGGCAAACTTTTTGAGAGGGTGCTCTCTGCCCGCATCGTCCGGCACCTTTGCGAGGTTGGCCCCGATCTGTCGGACGCCCAATTCGGTTTCCGAGAGGGGCGTTCGACGATCGATGCCGTAATGCGCCTTAGGGCCGTGACCGAGGAGGCCGTGAGCTGCGGCGGAGTGGTGTTGGCGGTGTCCTTGGACATCGCCAACGCCTTCAATAGTCTGCCATTCAGCTGCGTCAGGGAAGCGCTCCGCTACCACGGAGTGCCTGAGTACCTGAGGCGGCTGGTGGCAGACTATCTTGAGGAGCGAACCGTCATGTACGAGGACCGAGATGGCGTCTTGAGACGCAGGGCCATGTCGTGCGGTGTTCCGCAGGGGTCTGTCCTAGGACCTCTCCTGTGGAACATCGGGTACGACTGGGCCCTACGAGGGCGTCTCCCCCCCGGGCTGGGTGTAATCTGCTACGCGGATGACACCTTGCTCACGGCCCGGGGGGCTAACTTCCAGGAGGCGGCGCGCCTGGCCGCCACGGGAGTTTCCCTGGTGGTCGGGCGCATTGAGGCGTTGGGTTTGCGGGTGGCCCTGGATAAGACGGAGGCCCTATTATTTCATGGGCCCCGTCGTGGTCCACCCGCCGGCGCCTCAATCGAGGTCGGCTCGGTCCTCGTACCGGTCCGGGCCCAGATGAGGTACCTGGGTCTGGTCCTAGACGGTAGGTGGCTCTTCGACGAGCACTTCCGACAGCTTGGTCCGAAGCTGGTGGACACTGCCTCCGCCCTAGGGCGACTTTTGCCCAATTTGGGCGGGGCCAGTGTTCCCACGAGGCGGCTGTACGCGGGGGTTGTCCGGTCCATGGCGCTTTATGGTGCACCGGTGTGGGTGGCGGCTCTGACCGCCCCGAATAGGGCGCGCCTCTGGCGCCCCCAGAGGATATTGGCGGTCAGAGCCATACGCGGATACCGCACGGTGTCCACCGAGGCGGC